ATATATACGCTTGAATATATATATTCATATACACATACATATCCGTTAAAGATATACAATACATGCATACATAAATAGACAGTATATATATATATATCTGTGTCCGGAACTTTTTGTTGCAAGTAAACTATGTTTGCATAGTTTTGCATAATCGCCGTATATGTATACAAATGTTTGTCATACAATTGTTTGTAGCTCGCATATCCCGTAGTAAATCTATATATGATCATATAAGGTGAACTTGTCCGGTCGATATAGCGAGCATACCCACCATAGATGGAACATGCAAATTCAGGTGCCAACGGTAACACTCATAAACATAAGAAAAGTGAAAAGGGGAGTGTGGCACAAATGTACGCATTTCAATAAATTAATGCCCAAAACGAGATGTACCTCCGCGCAGTTTAGGATACCAAAAACATATTCGAATTATGCGAAGGAGGAGAGAAATCAAGTGCGGATAAACTTAAAATGTGCGAGTGTCATTGCACCAATAGTGCAACTATTGGAACATACATCGGCGCTGCCTGCATGATATTCCCCGTGAACATCTTCGCCAATGTCGGACTGAAGTCTTCCCAATTGATGTGATCTGCGTGACCCGTGTGTGACAGATTGATGCATGAATAGGTTATCCAAAACTGAAACTCACCATCATATTTGTATCCATAACTAACTATGTTCCATGTTTTAGTGTTTTAATGGAAGAGAGGACGAAGGAACCCACGGATTGTCCACACAGTCAGAGTGCAGAGTGTTTATACAGTAAGAGTATAACTTCCTCACACCATATACAGTTACGCGAGGAACATGCGAGAGAGTTCCATGTTGAGTAGTAGAGGACCTCGTGTCAGCGAAAACTTTCATATCTCCATTTTTCAATGTGTTGCTCGTACTAACGAAATTGGAGTGGCAGTACAGTCTAGTATATGCCCACATGAGTACATATGCTAACATACATGACAGTATGCATTGATACAATGGATTTTAGCACAGTCTAGTAAATGCCCACATGAGTACATATGCCCAACTTATGCTGACATACATGACAGTATGCATTGTTACAATGGATTTTAGCACAGTCTAGAATATGCCCACATGAGTACATATGCCCAACTTATGCTGACATACACGACAGTATGCATTGATACAATGGATTTTAGCACAGTCTAGTATATGCCGCGCACATGAGTACATTTGCCCAACTTATACTGACATACATGACAGTATGCATTGATACAATGAATTTTAGCACAATCTAGTATATGCCCACATGAGTACATATGCCCAACTTATGCTGACATACATGACAGTATGCATTGATACAATAGATTTCGTCCACAGAGCGATGGTTGCACTGCTTTTAAATACAAAACGAACATTTCAGTAAACGAGATTGCACAGTTAAGCTTTCAAGTCTTAGCCACCTGGCTTTTTGATACCACCTTCATTCTACACACATGTATGTACATTTGTGCACACTACACGTAGTCGTAGAAATACGCATGTATACACAACTGCACACGCATTTGTGAGTGAGATACTTCTTACCCTGAATAGCCGGAGGTTTATTGGCATAGCAATGTGAACTGAACATATCGCATGAAACGCGTAAGAGCTGATGATACATGGCAACAGGTGTAATGTTATATGACTGATGATACATGGCAACAGGTGTAATGTTATATGACTGATGATACATGGCAACAGGTGTAATGTTATATGACTGATGATACATGGCAACGGGTGTAGTGTTATATGACGGGCAACGGGTGTAATGTTATATGACTGATGATACATGGCAACGGGTGTAAAGTTATATGATGGATGATACATGGCAACAGGTGTAATGTTATATGACTGATGATACATGGCAACAGGTGTAATGTTATATGACTGATGATACATGGCAACGGGTGTAATGTTATATGACGGATGATACATAGCAACAGGTGTAATGTTATATGACGGATGATACATGGCAACAGGTGTAATGATATATGACGGATGATACATGGCAACAGGTGTAATGATATATGACGGATGATACATGGCAACAGGTGTATTGTTATATGGAACGTGAACTACTTCGAGCACGAGTTCTTGACTAGAAATCTCCGATAGACTCTAGGACAAGCGATTGTCTGGCTGGTATAACATAGATTCGGCATGATAGTAAAAAGTTCACGCACTTTCTCAATCCAGTCTGACTCAAGAAAGTGCGAGGACTGTGCATTCTGGTTCAGGTGGCATGTGGAGAAGACGTGGTTGATCAACGATGCGGTGTGAGGGATTCAGCGAGTGACACGTAGATATCGTCGCACTATCTAGCTATCACGATTCTCCCACAATCAGATATTTTTAGGTTGAAGTGAAGCGGTTAAAGAATCAAAATTTGCATTCAGAGGCTGGAAGAGCTTGCGTGGGAATACCAGTGATTTATGGACAGTCACACAGCGGACTATATGATGTTGAGCACACACATCAGCATACTAAAGAAGTCTTTATGAAAATATTTGTACGTGAGCGGCATATATGCATGTATATGGGAATACCGTGCACTACTCTATGCATATATCGAGCATCTTGTGGCACTAGTTGCGCCAGAGCGTGTCAGACAATTCCAAGGATATGTATCAAACTTTAAACTAACTTAAATCATTAAAACTTTTAATAAACTAAAATCATCAAAATTTTAAACAAACTTAAATCATTATTGCTTTTAACAAACATATCAAATCATTAAAACTTTTAACAGACATAGATCATAAAATTTTAACAAACTTAAGTCATTAATTTTTTTTAACAAACTTAAATCATTAAAACTATCAACAAACTTAAATCATTAAAAATTTCATGTCCTATTCTCACACGCACAAATTCTACACAAGGATACACTTTTGGATGAATAGGCAAATATAAATGTTTATGCACACACACATTTTCGCTCTAATCACTCCATGTAGGATATAACATGTAGAGCTATCTAACCCATACCGTAGGAGGCTGTCCGCACCTCGGTGCCTGAAACGTCCAGTGTATCTGTTTCCACACCTAGAATTCCCCCGAATTTATACTTCTGCATCGCATTCGTGCGTAGTACAGGTTCACGTGAGATTCAATACGGAATGGTGGAAAACAGAGAGTAAGGAGCAGTGTACATCCAGTTAAAACAGAGAGTAAGGAGCAGTGTACATCCAGTTAGAATAGAGAGAAAGAAGAGTTCACATCCAGTTCGGTCTACAGCTCAGATTCTTAAAAGTGTTTTAGATATGTCGAGGAGAAACTATTGTTGATAAGGTCCATGGAAAGAGAGATACCAAAGAGTCCATGCCTTGACTGAGTGGATCACGTGCTTGCGTTTCTCAGATGTGCACCGATTGAATGTGGCAGAATACCACAGCAACTGGGTCTCACCAATCAAATGACCTCAGATCGAACACACTGAATCTATTCTGATCGAATACAGCCATGCACTGGCACGACACAAGTCAATCAACACTTGGCTAATCATAGAAGATCAAATTCAACCACTAAATATAAAACAGTTTGCACGAAAAGTATCACCACCAACTAGACCGTTGACCAGACCCTCAGTCGTGTACTGATCGGACACAGTCGGCCGAACGTATACAGATCTACACTGGTGAGAATAAATGAATCAGATTCAGCGATCAACTGATGAGAATAAACGTACACCAATCAGATTCAGCGATCAACTGATGAGAATAAACGTACACCAATCCAATTCAGCGATCAACTGATGAGAATAACCGTACACCAATCCGATTCAGCGATCAACTGATGAGAATAAACGTACACCAATCAGATTTAGCGATCAACTGATGAGAATAAATGTACACCAATCAGATTTAGCGAACTGATGAGAATAGTGGTACGCCAATCAGCCTAGTCGCATACCTATCAGATTCCGTGATAAAGAGTTCAGAAGCGATCAAACCCGGTCAATAGCAGACAAAATTAGTATCGACGTCATCAGATCCAGCCGCATACCAACAATCATTTGTAAGCGAATAAAAAGCTCAGTAGCACATTATTCACAAACATTCATGCACATAACAGACTCAGTCGTGCACCGGTTAGACTTAATTGTAGGTTGACAGGTATGACGAACAATTCATTCATTCTAGAGTACCATGGTGCAGATAATGAGTGTCGACGACACCCAATTTGTACAGTGGGCAGATGAGCAACTATATACCAGAGCATACATGCCACACAAGTCTAAAACCTATTGATAGCATGTGAAACATCAAACTATGTATCAAAGGCGTACATGAAGAGACTAGCATACACATATGCAAAAATAGAACACGTATACATACTAGATCAGTACGATAGTCTACAAGCATCCATACCAATGCGTATAGACACTCCACTGTCTATGTGAAGGTCAAAACAACAAATATGAACGAACCAGTATTGAGCACTACCAGTATTCAAATACCAGTAATCAAAACACGAACACGCATTATATCCATAAAGCCATATTATGCATGTGTGTGTATGTGTATGATAGAACCACACATCTAGATACATATAAACTGCCTTACCACCGCTCAACATGACAAGAAGAAAACCTATCAGATGAACGACGATATCCATAAAGCCATATTATGCATGTGTATTCGTATGTGTCTGATAGATCCACATATCTAGGTACATAGAACTTGCCTTACCACCACTCAACATAGACGTCATCTGCTTTGTACCGTCGTTGATTCCGATCACTATCCTAACACAGAGACACCAGATCCGTGTAGAGCGCGATGGACGGTATCGGATTTACGTAAATATTGAAAACATATGAAGACATGAAAAGATCGTGAAATATCTTAATTGTGTTGAACAGTCAGCGATCTGCCTATATGGATGACTGGCTGTGAACCTACAGCTGCAACACGTGCAATATGCGATGTTGAGAAACAGCACCGAGACAAAGTGTTCAGGTACAACCCCGTACTCCCACTGTCTTCGATTTCCCACAACCTACGCTCAAAAGGTTCAGGTATAAGATTTATTCACTCTATATGATAATGTAGATATATTCACTCTATATGTTATGTAGAAATACTCACCCTATGTGTTAATGTAGAAATATTCACTCCATATGTTAATGTAGAAATATCCACTCAATTTGTTAATGTAGATATACACGTTCACACAGCCCAAAAACTTTCCAAGTACACGTAAACAACAATTCAGGCCCCAGATTTCCGATGCCTATACAGTTTGAATTATTCATTGCTACCTATGTGTCATAATTTACGTGCATCTGAAGTGCATCGGATCTCCGACTCCAAATCGATTCAGCCTAGTACAGGATAGAACTCATGCACGCGATACATGTGCTCCACTCAAGCACAATGAATTCACACACACACATTGGTAGTTCATAACAGATAAGGCCTGATAAGTACTAATAATACGTTTTAGAGCTAATTCTCACAACCACTTGTGGGAAACAGACACCGTAATCACACTCTGCTGCATGGCACGCACTACATTAGCGAACAGAGAATAGGCATGCGGCACAGTCTGCTGACAGCTTGATCAGTACAAGACCCGTATACCAGTGACTGCGAAACGCTTTAAGCACCGACAAGACTGCGCGAGGGCAATCCAAACACATGTGTGCTAGCCAATGCGCACACATGCACACATATATCCATGCATCGGCCGATGGACGCAGAGACATGACATACCCATGACTCCCTGAGCCTCTCTGTCCAGTGTACCTCCGTGTCCCACTTTGATCTTTTTGTTCCATTGTCCAGGCCCGGAAAATTCTGTTGTGGACAGTGCGGGTGTGTACATGAGGCATGCTGTCACCAAAGGTGCTGTCACCAAAGGTATAATATATAAGATAACAATGAATGATAGTAAATACAAAAACTACGATAAATTTTAAATTGACGATAAATTGCACACGCATTTATCCACAACGACTCATCCAAATATATTTTGTGAATAGTCAATTCCTGTACCCAATCATGAAAGCAAGCAAAAAATTGAACAGTGTTACACACATTATTCACAGTCGAGACTTCGGCTAGATTTGTTATCTACTTCCACGATATAGTAAATCAAACCTCACGCATTCAAGCATCAAGAATACCTAAAACCGAATTACCTAGGTATTCTTAGGTACAATATACTTTGATCGCCGCTAGCGTAGTTAGTGTCAATTTTAGCCTTACACAAACGAAGTACGGACAGTAAATGGCCATGTCCTGTGGATACGGCAAATATCACTTCGTAGCCTTTACAGTAATATGGGCGAAGGTGTGCACCCATATGGATCAGACTGGTAGAATATTTCACATACTAGTTCATGAATCTCGAAGCCAAGACAATCAGTAAATAGTTCAGAATACCTTTGCTCTTAAGCAGCTTCTTGATCGTATTCGTGACCGCGGCCGACCCCATGCCTCTCGGTTTGTACACCGCTATCACCCCTGAGTAAACTCTCGCCATGACTGTAAACTTCTAACGGAGTCTTTATGTGAATATGTATACGATACTTATATGTAAATACGCTGCTGAATATATGACTCGTGAAGGTTGCGCGGAGGTGTGCTGATATCACCCACCATTTGGGTAGTAAATTGAGAGAAAAATGGTGGCTATGTACGGTATATGCTATATACCGCGCACCACTTTACCGAACAGATTGTACCGGAAGTATCTGACCGGCTCAAATCGTTCGGGGTAGTTTTACCTATAAAAAAATCAACACTATCCCAAACCCTACCAAACCCTAACACAAATGGGCCCTGCCGGCCCTTTATACTTATATTTTTTACATAAACACTATATGCCCGCCCAGCTAATTCTGCTTCATACTTCGTACTTTGCGACTTGCGCAACATGTTGAGCTCACACTAGCATGTTATTATGAGAGTGTATACTGAAGTTTCAAGCTAAAGGTGCGTGTGAACAT